ACAGTCGCGATCTCCCGCTTCCCGACAGCCGCACTAGGAGGAGGGTGAGTAGCGTACTTTATATTATGCAAATAATACGCGTCATGAAATATTTTCAAATACTTTATAGTTCCTAATCATATTCAAAATGTTTATCAAAAACTATTTAATATTTATACTTTTGCACATACAGTCATAATTTTCTTGACACATGAATTACATGACGTGAGTTCACACTGTTCGTGCTATAGGCTACTCAAATTTATCTATTACATTTTCAATTCGGTAACGGGTTAGGGTAGGTGTACCAGTGTACCACCTATTGTGTGGTTATACCTATAATCGTTATTGTACTGTAAAAACTCACATACCTGGGCAAAAATGTATTCCCGAGTGGCCCGAGTACTGCAGTATAATTGTACCGGTTGCAAAATTTATTCAGATTATTATGTAATAACTTAGGTCAATAATTATATAAAATATGATATCGGTGTAGGGGGTTAAGGGTTCAAACCTCCCCGAAATGTTTTCAAACAAAATTTTATCGAACTGCTGCTTCTATTTAAAATACTATTTTGATTATAATTATTTTTAAATATTATTTTATACAAGCTACTCGTATACCCGCATTCCACACAATACATATATACAAGTAACAATCCTTATACAGTTTATTTATTTATCCTTGCCATATCCGTTGGTACTTGGTGTTATGCGTTGTTTCAGGATTTACTTCCCAGTTTTCATCGCGTTTAGTGGTCGACGATTTAAATGTTTCTTGGAACATATAATATAATAATATAATAGGCACTCGTGTAGCGTTTATACTGCAGGTCAATGGTCATTATACTCAGTATAAACGAATAAAAAGTTTTCTGTAAAAAATTTATTGTAACGATTTTTTAGACGTTAAATCTGTATCACTGTGTTGATATGTACACTGGACTATACGAAAAAAGAAGAAACAATAATTTTTTATGTATACAAAAAGTATTTTTATTAATTTAACAAATTAAACGTAGCACACTGCAGTAGTGCAGGCTCACTCATAAATGTTTTATAAATACATATAATTTTTAAATACATAATTTGAATACAAAAAGTTGAACATATAATTTTTATAATTGGTGGTGACGACTCTGGTGATGGACAAGCGGCCCCGCCGATGGGGTTACCCCGGGGCGAAAAAGGCGAGAGTCAGCGGACCGCAGTCCTCAACTGTCTGTAATTTTCGCCTTAGCGTTGACCCTTCAGCCACATCTTCATCGAATGACCGCCACCACGAAGTTACGAGCCGCAGGACCCTAAGAGGACTAAAGTTAGGCGTTAGTGTTCCTAGCGACCTAGCACACTGCAATATCTCTACCACTCACACCGTGCCAAAGTCTACACCGCTGTCGTAGTCATCGTTGGTTCTGTCGGGGCGGAATAGTTGCCCTCGCTGGCACCTTTACTAGCCGCTGAGTTGTCGTCATTGTCATCCGTCGCACCACGTGACCGCAACTACAACCAGACGCTCGCTTAGCCGCCAGAGTGTCTAGCTCGTCAGCGATTATCGAGCGGGCTTAAGGTACGATTAAGCCCGCTAACTCGTTGAGGTCACACCATGGGCGGTACTGGCGATCTAGAAGTTGGCTAAAAAAAATTCCAAAATGTTAAATTTGTTCGCACTTAGGTGCTGCCTATACCTGTTGCTGGTCATTTACATACAACTTTTTACTTGATTTTGAATTTGACGGTGGAAGGATTTTCGGGTGAGTTTCAAAACTAAGCTAAAAAGTTTACGTAATCGGTAAGCAATTGATCGATGATAACTGAAGTATGTTACAAAAGTAAGAGGGTATGTATCTTTGACCAATTTGAATCATTGATCTTGTCTTCGACTGACACGTAAAGACAGAAAATGTGGTTATGTACTTACTACTTAGTACTTATGTATACCTAATTAAAATGTTTAAAATGTTAATTTTAGCTAGGATAGAGATGGAAAATAGTTTTCAAGTGCCGTCTATGTTACTTACTTACTTAGATTTTTAGGGCGAAGGAGCGACTTGCGACCTTCCAAAATGGGCTAAAAGTTAAAACCGTTATTCTTGGTTTTAAATTTTAATATGTTATTCGTTAAAATTTGAACTAAAAATGTATATAAAAAATAACGTGTTTAAAATATATTTTTTTTATTTGTTAGTTACATAGTATGAACTTTTTTGATAATCCTTATTTTCATTTTCAATCCTTAGTGACAAAAATTTAACATTTTATAATTTCTTACACTGTACAGTGGTAAAAAAGTTTCAGAGTTACGAGTTACGCTACAGCCGGTCTCATACAGCATCGTTTCACATCACAAAATTGTCAATCGGTCAAATCGTCATTGGGAATATTTAAAAACTACATATTGTATTAGGTATGGGCAGTGTTCGGACTTATCTAGATATATTTATCTAGTTAATTATTTGTTCATCTTTTATCTTATCTAGAAAAATAGTTATAAGGTATCTAAAGGTTCATCTTAGATATTTTTTTTTACTAATCTAAATAAATTCATCTAGATATATTCTTTATTGATAAAAATTGCGAAATCGTACAAACGCATTTTTAAATATTTATACAGATTCTCTATCAAAGTTTATGGTTTATAAATAATGTAATTATTTTTATTTATATCATTATTATTATTATGTTCCTAGTGCCCAACTAAAATATACCTAAATTTAAAACCATTTAAAAAATAATTGTATCTTTTTTATCTAGATAAAAAAGTATTTATGTAATCCGAACACTGGATATGGATGTTAAAATTCGAAATTTCTTATTTCCAATTGTTGATGGTGGTTACATAAATATAATAGTTTATTATTGTCATCAGGCATCACCTGCAGCTTTGGATTTTAGCACATATAAAGTCTATTCATCCAATCGTATTTAATTTGTTGTTTCCATCGTGACAATGTGACAGTCGTCGTCTTATTGAAATCCGTTTCCACAAAAATGTTATTAATATCGGTATCGAGCTTGGAAATACACATATTATTACATATATATAATAATTATATACATTATACAGAATGATTCATTAAGCGTTCAACACTCATTATCTCAAAAAGTATTAATCTTTTTGAAAATATTTTTTACATAGTTTCAAGTTGTTAAACAAACAACGTTTTTATTAAATAATTATATTTTTAAATATTTTTTATCCTTATAATGTTTTAAGTTTTTTACTTTTCTGAATGACGGCATATAGTTTTAATTTCATATTCCAAAGCAGAATATTTTTCTTAGTATTTTGATACATAAAAATCGAATTTAGGACGAGTAGCTTATGAGTTATAAGCATTTAAAGTTTAGATTAAAATTATAAGGATAAAAAATATTTAAAAATATAATTTTTTAATAAAAACGTTGTTTATTTAACAACTCGAAACTATGTAAAAAAATATTTTCAAAAACATTAATACTTTCCATAAATTTTAGCCTCCCTATAACGGAAACTCCCCTTCAGCGGAAAACTCAGTTGATACCAAGCGATTCCGTTATAAGGAGGTTTTACTGTATATAAGTACTTTATCCATAAAGTATAAAGTGTCCATGTTTAGCAATTTTAATACTCGATCAGCTAAAGTAACCAGCTTGAACCTATAGGCAGCCGCCTCCACAGGCCTATTTACTAACTTTTACCTATCTAAGTAATATATTATAATAACTCATAAATTCACACTCGGAATGGTAAAAAAGGGAACTGGATGCTACACAATTTAAAGGGCACATAACAAAAATATTTGGAGCAAATTTAAAATAATTTTTTTTTAATAAAATATTGAAAATACGTTAAAAACGTAATAAGGTACCAAATTACAACAAACTTACAATATTAGATAACTTTAATTTCTACAGAAGTATAGTAAAAAAAATAAAAAAAAATTGTTGGTCTGTGATTACACATTCACTGATTCAGGTCAGTGTCTGTCTAGCCCACCCGAAGTTCTGAGCGGAAGAAAGAAAATTTATGAATCATAAATATGTATTAATAAATAACTATTAATTGTATAATTATAATATAGTATATTATACCTACCTAGTGGGAATTAGGTATTTATTAAATAGTATTCGTAGTGATAAACAAAGTGTTAGAAAAAAAAATAGGTTAGAAAAATAAATGTTGGTGGTTTATCTAGTGGTGGTAAAAAAATATTGAGAAAATCGAAAAATTACATGTCTATAAAGTACCATCTTGATCCGATTTTCTAAAATATATGATTACAATATAAAAAAATGCGGGGAAGTGGGTGTCGCTCTGCTGTACAGTAGGTTATAAGTGGGGCACTGTAATGGATGGTGCTTAACTTGAATTCAATGATATCATATCATTGTATATGAAAAACGATTCTGAACGAAGATGGTTTGTATATTATATAATATATTATATTGTTACTATTATTACGATGGCTTATATAGAAAACATAAACATTTAGTGAACGTATCAAGGTTAATTTTTTTTAGAGTTAAGCCAAAAACCAAAAACGATTTTATCGAAAATCTATTTTGCGTAATAAGTCTCTTAAATTTTTTTTTGTTTTAACGGCGCTTTTACAAAACTACTGGAAATTTCAAATTTTTACCTCCTGAATGTACCAACTAGACTCACCTTCACACCAGAAAATATCCTGAAGTTGAAAATCGAAGCACTATTTCGAATCCTTATCGAGTACACAGGCACAAATAATAATAAAAAAAAAACACACCCACACATCATTCTAAAATCAATACATCCATCCACTCGGAATCTAAAAATATACTCAAAACCTTCTATAAAGAAGTACGATGCCCCTCGATTTTTAAAAAATGTCAAGCAGAATATTTTTCTGAGAATCATTATATAGGTGTACATAATATAACAATTTTAATTTGTAGGTGGTTACTAGTTAGTACGGGTTATAAGCTTATAACTTATAGGTAGATATTTAAAGTTTTTATGAGCTCCGAGTAGTAGACCAATATTAAATGCCACAAAACTGACTCTAAATTTTAGAGTCAGTTTTGTGGCATTCCAGTACACTCATATTATATATATTTATATTATATATTCCATGTCGAGATTTGAATTTATGAAGCCAGCCACTGCTGGCCTTAAAATCTTCAGGGCCCTTAAGTTTTGTATTCATCTCGAGAGCTTTTTCACATATGAGTGGTCCAGAAATTGGTTCATTTAAGCTTCGTTTTTGTATAAACCACATTTCCATTGCTTTGTCAAGATCTTGATATTTTGCGACTTTCATAACTTTCCTTCTTTTTATTCCATCACCACTATCCATCTTTGACGAAAAATCCATGATTGCATGACGGTTGTTTTTAATATCTGTAACTGTTGCTTTACCTATATTATAAAGACGGGCTAAAGATACGCTAGTCTCACCTTTATCCAGCTTAGCAAGAATTTCTATTTTTTGTTCTATCGTAAGAACATGACGTTTACGTTTATTAGACATTTTAAATACACTTGACAATCGTAATATATTTGTACGTACGTATGTATAACAATGTGTGTGCGGTAGAGACCCGAACTAAACTGACAAGTAAAACACGAGGACGTCGTTTAGATAAGCCCGTTGCGTTTTGGTTATCTACTAATGATTGACGTACGTAAAATACATACATAACCTGTACTAATAATAATCCAAAAAGGCAAAAACGATAGTTATGATAAATTCGATAAACCGGCCGACCGGCCGGATATGAATTTTCATGTTCGGATACGCTAATTATAGTTCGGATAATAGCGGGTTCGTATAACGGAGGTTCGGATAATCGAGGTTCTACTGTATTCACTTTTAATATATCAAGAGCCTTGTATTAAATGTCCAGTTGAGTTTTTGACCCTATAAATAAAATTTGGGACTAGGACGGTGAGCAGACAACCGACGAGCAGACGGCCGAAGAGCCGACAACCGACGAGCAGACGGCCGAAGAGCCGACAACCGACGAGCAGACGGCCGAAGAGCCTTCGGCGTCGTTGGGTATTATTATTGCGATAAAGATATTATATCCAAAATTTCCAAATTATATCGATATTTATCAAAGCAATTATTTGAGATAAGATATCGAACCAGTAATATAATACATCATACAACCGAAGAGCCGATGTGTTATTCTCTAATGTAATATTGAATCAGTGAGGTTTGTGCCTTCGTCGTATTTTATTTTATAATAATGGAGTGTTATTTGTTGAACAACAAACTTATTATAAATGGCTATGTTATGGTCCGAAATAAAGTGCGTGAAAATCGGTACAACTGGGAGTGTGAAAAAATAATCCATAGAACAACTTTAGAAACACATGAAAATTGTAATGCCAGAGCTACGACTGGTTGTGTCAATGGGTTACATACGCTTCGTGGCATGCTTCATATTATTAATGATAAAGGTAATAGGACCCTGATAGATTTTCTAAAAGGTACAGCTTATAATATAAAACTATAAATGTAATTTTTTTACGATTTACGATTTTTATTTATTTATTTTATTTATTTATTTAATATAAACGGACGTGAGTCCTAAAACATAATAATATTACATTGTGAGTGAAAAAACACATTAATACGTAAAACAATAATTAATAGTTTCTACTTAAAATTAGAGAAAGAATAAAATAATAATGCTAAATTAGAAATAGAATACAAATCAAATATAAAAATTATTATTTAAATATAATCAAAGACAAAAGTATTACCTGCAGTCATAAGAAGGTTAGCAGGAGAGTTCAAGATATAATTTTTTGTTGAAAAAAGTGGATAAAAGGGTTTTGGATCTCTAGTATTAAGGTAATTAATTTTAAAACGGATTAAAGAGAGAATTTCAGGACAATCTATTGAACCTAAAATTAGTTTTTGTAAAAATTTAGAGAGTAAAAGTGTACGACGGTCAGACAGTAGAGAAATATTAAGAAAATTTAAAACATTATTATATGAGCCGTGGACAGGTCTGTGTATGTTAAATTTAGACGATTATACTATTAATATTGATATTAAATATATTTTAATTTAACAATAACATATTATTTTAAAATTAAATTTATATTAAAATATGTAATTAATTTTTTATGACGATTATACTATTAATATTGATATTAAATATATTTTAATTTAACAATAACATATTATTTTAAAATTAAATTTATATTAAAATATATAATTAATTTTTTATGACGATTATACTATTAATATTGATATTAAATATATTTTAATTCAACAATAACATATTATTTTAAAATTAAATTTATATTAAAATATGTAATTAATTTTTTAATATATTTTGTAGACGAAAATAAATTGTAATTAAGTAAACAATTTTTTATTTTTAAACATTAATATATACAATTTAGATACCATGTCGGCCTGATATCCTGTCGGTCAAACGCCGTCGGCTTTATATCTTGTCGGCCTACTGGTTGTCGGCTCAACGTCGTGATTCCATAAAATTTTATTGACATTTATAGAAAATGAGTCAAAATATTTTGAAAATTTTACCAAGTATAGGAATTGATAAGATAAACATTTGGTGTAAATTTCAAGTATCTATTGTTATTAGTTTTTGAATAACAACCAAATAAGAAAATCGTTGTATGAAGATTTGCTAATTACGGGTAGAAATCAAATTTACAATTTCAAACACTCGTAAAAATTTAATTTGACTTTCCTATAAAGTCTTTTCTATGTTAAATATAGAAAAACTTAAAGGGAATCTTGTATTACAATGTCGAAACTTAGATTCAAAAAGAAAATTTTTATGAATATCTAACTCAAAATAATTTGAAAGTTTTCTTGATTATAAAGTATTTTATCAAGATTCGAACTTTAAATACTTATAAAAAAAAATTTTAACTGTATCCAATCATTAGCCAGACCGTCACTTATTCAGGTATTATATTTTATAATTACCTTAAAAACAGGGCTTTAAACCGAAAATAATTTTTCTTATTTCGATTTTGGTTTCGGACATAGGGATTTATTTTTTCCTATTTTAATTTCGGCTTCAGATATCAGTATTTATTTTCCCTGATTTCATTTTTGGTTTTGAATATCAGTTTTTAATTTTTCAATTTCAATTCTGGTTTTGATTACAGGTGTTGATTTTTTTCGATTTTGTTTTCAGTTACAATATTGTTTTTGGTTATAACCGGCTAACTTAAATAATTTTTTTTTTGATTTTATTTTGATACGATCTTTGTTTGTAAGTCAAAAATCTTGGAAATTTAATACAAAGTTCCTCATACGTCTTAAAGTAATAAATTAAAACATTTTTCTTTTATAACGGTTCAATGAAGTTTAAATTAAGATTTTTCCTGAAACTATTTTAGATATTTTGTTATTATTTAAAAATATTACTCTTAGGGACTCAATTATTACAAAATATTTAAAATGTAATAACAAGGTTATAGTAACAATTCTCTTATATCCTGTGCATGTTAAACGAAGCAAGACTATATAATGTTCAATACTTAATTTTTCTATACTGAAGTACTTTCCGGTTTCTTTTCTTAGTTAATAAGTAACAATTCTTTTCTAGTCAATGACATACTATAATGATTAATGGGTACCAAGCATCATTACTTAATTGTTATTTAGTCTACACTCTACATCAAAAAAAATAAATTCAGTCATGAGTGGTTTTTTAAATGTTTGTCATCAACGTTAATAGATATACCAAATATTATATAACTTCAACAATATAATCAAGGTAAACCTTGATATTGTAAAAATGTTTATCATACTTTAGGTTTTATTATGTATATCTTTACCACGTAACCTTAAACATTACTCACAATACAATTCAAGTGGATTCTCGAATTGTTGACTTTGAGTAAATATTTGAACATGTTGAATACAATTAACTGGTACGTATACCTATTCCTTTCAATATTTTTGACTAACCTATTTACGAAACACATATTTATAATATATATATATATATATATAAGTAGGCAAATGTTCAGAATAATGTTTCAGTTTATGTTCGGACGCCGATACGCACCGTGTAGTTTTTATAATTAATACCAAATTGAAATTTCAAAACGAAAATGGAAAAGTGGAATGGAAAAGTTGCTGTAGTGACGGGTGCTTCTTCTGGGATCGGAGAGGAGACTTGTCGACAACTGGTTGAAAAAGGAATGATTGTTGTTGGTTTTGCTAGAAGGGAACAAAAACTTCAGGTACATAAGTTGTAAATATTAATTTCAAAAAGGTGCTCTGCTGTACAGTTGGTTACAAGTGGGTCACTGTATAATGGATGGTATTAAAATTGAATTCAATGATATAAAATCATTGGATAAGAAAAACGATTCTGAGCGAAAACGGATAGTCAGGCTATATGATATTACTATAAGTATATATTTGATGATATTATTGTGAATGAAGTAATTTATATATTTACCTATTTACTTGGACCCTTGTTTCAAATTTTCAATCCTTAGCTATAAAAGTTGAATATTTTATAAATTTTTAACTACAAAATAATTATTACATTTTAAATTTGATAAATTTTGTCAAAATTTAAACTTTAAACGCTTATAAAAAAAAATTGTGCCGATGTATTTTTAATATTTCTTAACTTATATTGTAACAATACATCAGGAGTCTTGTATTAAATTTTTACACTTTTTGGCCCAACAGATAAAACTTTATTGATATTTAAAAAAAAAAAAAACTAAACAAATTGAAAACTGTAAATGTCCGTAAACAGCTCAAAAAGAGTCAAAATATTTTGTAACGATGAAAAACACAGATATTTGTTTTGTATGTAATATGAGTTGTGTTTTTATTATTACACAAATTTATAATAATTTTATAATATTCGATTACAATATTTTCTTTTAAATATAAAGTTTATGCTATTCAAGCCACAGCTATAATATTTGGAATTTATATAATGTTTTTCTTGTTAATACAATATATTCTTTTTATTGAAATAACTGCTCTTCGAGCTATAAATCATAATTTTCAATACGTTTTTAAAAGCAATCAAACAAAAAATCAAGACTCACGATAATCTTGGTGTAGGTAGATGATTGTAGTGTTGGTGGTAGGTTTGTACTGCGACTACAACGTTCAGTCTGTATGTCGACAGCAAATATACGCAGACGGCGATCGGGCGGTGTCTACAACTCGTCCTCGATGCTGAATCGTTTTCTCTGGACCTCCAATAATCCACGACAACGAACTCGTACCTTTCACACGATATCGGGCGAAGTGATTTGCCAAATCGGCTTTAACGACGTTCAAAAGAAAAATATTATCCGCGGCGGTTTCAACGTAGCGGCGGTTTTATTAAAGTATTTATCCCGTGACGGTATACTACGCATTCAACGGTAATAACAATATCTAATTACGGATTTCAATAAAATAGCGAACACGCGCTTATCACTGCGTATCGTTTTGTGGTGACATACGCGCTTACCACGGCGTAGCGGAGATGTCAGATTAATATATGTACC